ACTTGTTTATAAACTAAACATTCGACTTATTATAAATTGAATTATAAAAGAAACACTATTACCTTTGAATCTTTCTGGTCTCATTCTAGCTGACCAACAAAACGAACATACGTTACCTATCTTTAGATAACTTAGTAAACTCTTCCAACTTAAAATTATTTAATACGTCAACTCTCCCACCTGACTCTATTACGTGTACTCTCGTGACAGAACCCAAAGTCCTATTAAAATGGTAACAATAGCAAATATATCACCAGTCTATATAATTATATGTGCATATATTAATAATTTTTGTTCTGAATATTCACAATTAATTTTTTCTATTAATAAACTAAATAAATTTTATTAAAATATATTACTTTTTATTAATATATAATTAAATATTATATACTTTTAAGTAACTTAAATTCTTATATTAATAAATATAAAAAGCTATTTATATTTTTAGATATATTTGATCCAGAAATTATAGCTATCACCATTAAATTTTCTTGTTTAACTCATTCTAATAATAATAAATTGACATTGATAAAAAGAAAATCTAATAATTATCACATTTTTGCTTGAAAATTTGATATCTATCACATGATTCAATTAAACAAATATCATATTATTCACTAAAAAAATCTTAATCTAATAAACTTTTATAAATATCTCTATTATAAATATTATCTAAATTGTTTCTTTGAGATTAATAAATTGATCAATATAATATTTTCTTTGCACAATCTGGATCTTTAAGCTAAATACAAAGTTAATCTTGTAATGAAAAATATATAGTTTTTTTCGAGATTTTTAATATAATATATTATATAAAAATATCAAGATTCATTATAATATAAATAATAATCTAAATTAGTATATAAATCTGTAAAAGCACAATATAAATTAATACATATATTAATTTTTAAAAGCTTAGAAATATATTTTTCTGTTTAATATAAGAATATTTTATTATATTTAAAGATTTTTAAAATTTGAATATAAATAAAGTTAGAAAGAATATTACTTTTTGATTTCAAATTAAATAATTGTAATGTATTAAAATTCAAATTTATAAATATATAATAAAATTTAAATTTAATTTTACTTGATAATTTATCTAATTCATTATTAATTTCTTCAATACTATTCCAATCTGAATCAGAATTTTCAATTTCAAATTCTATAAATAAAAGTAATTCAAATTCTGTTGATTCACTTTGTTTTCAAAACTTGAAAAAGTCACAATTAATATAGATTCATCAAATTCAATTAATTCTTATAAGCTTTAATTTGAAAAATTATTTTTAAATAGATTTAGATTTAGATTAATAAAATATTAAATATAATAATTTATTTTTAAATTATTATAAATATTTTTTTAAAATTTATTTTAGTTTTATCTTCTAATGGAATTATACAAGTCATATATTGATATTATATTTATTTTGATACTTTTTCAAATATCTTTTATATATTTTTAGTAAAACAGTATATTCTTGATAATTTTTTAATATAATCAATATATTTACAAATTATTTTATGATTAAATAATATTTAAAGTATTATTTGTAAAGAGCAATTTGCAAAATAATAATATAGATACAATAAAGTATCTAATAAATATATATTATTCTAAATGAATTAATTCAGATAATTAATATTAAATTATTTCAAAATTAATCTTTTTAATCTACTTTTTGCTAATAAATAAAGATGTAGTAAATCTAATTTAATCTATTGGCTAAAAATAAATTAAAAAATTAATTTTGAAATAATTTGTCTTAAGTTTTAACTTTTTAATACTAATTATCTAATTATATAATCTAGATCTCTTATAATAATATAGCTCTTGTAACTTTATTATCAGTTACTATTTAGTAATTGTTATTAATATAGCTAGTAATATAATTTGTATTATTAGATTATATATCATTATAAGATTATTATATTAAAACTAAAAAGATTTTATTATATTATATTAAGAATATTAGATATCTGATTAACTAGTATATATTAAAGTAATTAAAAAATATATAATATTTTACTATATGAGAATAAATAAATAATTGACATTAATAAATTGATTTTTACTTAATTTATCTATAATAATATCATAATTTTTACATAAAAGTTTTATTTTTTTTTAGAAAAAGACAAGTATTATAAATTTTTACTATAATTAGAATTAGCTAGCTATTTTTATTAGTGCTCTTATTAGATTAGATTGAGATTAATCTAATTCAAAATATTTTGAATCAGCATAAAAATTGTTATTTTTCATTCAATATTAATTGAAATTAAATGAAAATTTGTAAATATATATATAATTATATTTTGAACAACTCTACTTAGATCAAATTCGAATTTAATTCAAAATTCTCAGTTCAGATAATCTCAAATTCACTTGAACAAAGCTTTAATTTTTATTCAAGTTTTAGAAGTTAGTATATATTTATACTAATTTATATACTTTATAAACTAATATATCAAGTTAGAGTTTGGAATTAGATTTATTTTTAAAATTAGAATTTAGTTTTAATTTAGTTTAAATTTGAATTTTAATATTAAAAATAAATCCAGTTCCAAATTCTATGTCAAGTTGCTTAACTAATTCTACTCATATAACTTTTATTATATTTATTTATTTCTAAATATTTATATATACCAGCTATTTATATCAATTTTTGTACAAAAAATTACTTATTAAATCTAATTTAGCTATTATATCTACTTTTTTGACTTTAAATACAAAAACTAGCTTTTTCTTCAATAAGAATTAAGTAATACAAAATATTTAATCAGATCAATCATAATTTTATGCATTTATTTTATTTTGATTTGATATCTTATTTATAAATACTTGTCAAATTTTGAACTTTTATCATACTATACAAAATATCTTTTGAAAATAATAATACTGAAGATATTTTTCTTTCTGTTACTAATCTTTCTTTATTATTTTCTGCTCCTCTACAAGATTAATGACAAAGATCTTTTATTATAATTAAAAATCAATATAATATAGTTCATCAAAAACATCAAATAAAACTTTAATAATCTACTAAGCATCTTATTATAGAAAAATATCTTTTCAATATTCCAATTATACTTATTATAAATATTTCAGAGCAAAGTGTTAAAAGACTTAAAGTAAATATTATTTTTTATTATTTAAATAGAAATTTCTTCGAAATTTATAAAAAAACTAGTGAATAAAAAAAGTATTAATAAAATTCCACAAAATATTTAAGATACATGATTTAATAAAGCAGCTGCAAAGTTTAAAGAATTTTTTTATATAAAATCTAATTGAATATATTATAAAGCACTTTATAATCTATAAATAATAGAGGTAAGTTATTAAAAATAAAATTATTTTACTATTAAAGAAGTTTATAATTTATTATTTTATTATAGTAAATTATAAAATCAATCATGAAAAAAATAAATTATGCAAGAACTCGACAAGCTTCTCAAGCAGAACTTGAAGATCAAATAATTAAATCTAAATAAAATAAAAAGAAACAAGATATTTTCAATCAGATTTCAAGTCATAATGAAAAAGAAATAATTTCAAATAACAATAATAAATTTCAAAGTAATTATGAAAAAATTAATAATGAAAATCAAGAGTTTACTGATGATTATTCTGATATAGAAGAAAATATATATAATATAAGAATAGATATGTATTTTAGTCTATTTTATAACATATTTTATACTTAAAATATATTATTTCTAAGATATGTTATTAGAAATGCCATCCAGATCAAATTCACTTTATAAGTCCAGAAAAAATAATAAAAAAACTTTGAAGTAAATATTATCATTTTTCAATTTTAATAAATTTGTTATTAATTTTATATTATTAATATAGTGCTTATTTTATTTCTAGTATGCTACCAACTGTACCTTTGACACTAATAAAAAAAAGAAAACCTTATTATTATATCTCACAAGCAAAAGGAATCATAAAAACAGAAACTTAAAGATCATGCAATCTCTAGTGATGAAGAAATTTACCAAATTAATACAGTCAAGCCCAAATTAAAAAGATCTCGCAATGATACTGTTTTATAAATATCTTTTTCCAGCTCATCACAGATCAATATTAGGTATTTGCTTTATAATTAGAAGAAGATCTTGATGTTTTTATTTGAATAAGTGCTAATAATTTTATATTTTCTAATAGGATCTGACAAGAAAACAACTTCACAAGAACTTCCTGAAGCTAAAAGCATGAACAATCCGAATTATTTGACCAAACCAAATGCATTTCATGGCAAAAGCAGCAAGAATCATGTCAAAAGCAACTTAAGAAAGATGAACAGTGACCAATCGTAGAAAACATAGAGTAGACTAGTTATTTAGTGTAGTATAAATAATCTGTATTGAATATATAAGAGATGTGAATGCAATTGTATTAGGAAATTTTACGAAATATATAAAGATTGCATATGCAATACATTTGTGATTTTCAGGATTGTGTACATGACGTGATTGTATCCAGACTGAAAATTTATATATATGCTATATGTATCTGGAAAATATAAGAAATCTTAAATTCAATATGATTATTCCATGTATTTGTACGGAAAATGCGCTCACTTGCATACTGAATTAATTCATGACATATTGTTGAGAAATTGCTTATGCATCACGTAAAATATCTGATATATTTTTCCTGTAGGGTGTTCCACACATGTGTGTGATATTTTTTTATAATAAATAAGTGTTAATACATACGTTCCATTAAAATTTCGCTCTCAAAGCATCTGATAATATGACTCGCGATTTTGTTTAATGTTAGGTCCTCAGAAGATGATTTTTAAGGGGAAATGTTGTTATATTCGATCAAAATTCTTATCCAAATAATATTTGAATAAAAATATCTATTTAATTGCTATTTGAATATTGTTTTATTCGAATATTTATTCGAATACAAACTTTATATTATACAATAGAGTAATAAGCATCGTAAATTATTTTTATATTAAGACAGCCACATGAATTTATTAAACTAGCATTATGAAATATATTTATATATGCATTATATATAAATGCAATATTTACACTAGCTAAAAGCAATTAATTCAAATAATTATTATTAATATTTTGAACAAGATTATGCGTCTTTTTATCAATTGTTTTTACACACTGGAATGGTCAATATTTTCTTTATTATCAACAGCTTTTCTGCGCTTTACTGATTCGACTTGTGTCTGAATTTTTGCACCACTCTTCACACGTGCAAGTGGATTAATATTACAATTTATATTATAAAGAAAAAATGTTAATGTCAGAATAGATTTGGTTTTTGCTGCGTTATATCATTCAGCTAACTTTTCAAGAGCAGTCTGAAGTTGCGGGCCAGTTTTTATAAGCATGCTTGACAGTTTCAAGAAATGGCTCAAAAAAAGCTGGATTATGTTTAAAAATGAATTATTTAGTATGAATTAGTAAACTAAGATAAAAAGTATAATATATGCATAATATATATACTCTGCTACAGTAATTTGGTTCACATTAGACTTTTTTGATTTTTGAGTTTTATTGATTTCTGATTCTTGAGCTTCATTGATCTCTGCTACAGTAATGTGATCCACGTTAGACTTTTCTGATTCTTGAGTTTTGTTAATTTTTTGATTATTTAAAATTCTATTATTATTATATTATATTTTTGTTGATTATATTAGTTATCATTTGTATAAGCATAAAGTGATGTATAAAAAGAATAATCATCTGTCATAGTTCCTTAAAATATTAAAATAAAGTTATTAATATATAATATTAAATATTAATACAAAAATTAATTTGAATTAATCACTTATCATGTGCAATGTATGCAAACTAAGCATGATTATCAAGTGTTAATGATTGAATAATCCAATATAATATTTTGTAGTTACTGCATCCTGATGTTTGTACAGTGCTCCAGATAATTCAATGAAATAGGTACATATGCAAATTTCAACGTTGATCATATAAAATAAGTCAATAACTTGGAACCAGATACTTTATATCAATATCAGTTTGCTAAATCTCTACTACATTAATTACTTTCCAGTCATGACACAAAAATCGCTTAGCAATTTCTAAATGACCAGAATGATTATGTGCTATTCCAAGTAATCAATATTTGTAAAAGTTTTCCATACTTATATTAATAAATTGGAATACTTGAACACTATTATATGCTTAAGTATGTGTAAATATAATATCTTTTAACAATTTAAAGCTGTGTTTTACATAGTTATTTGTGTTATTTTCATGTAAAAGAAGTTCAGAATGAAATAATACTGCTCATAATTAATTTTAATTCCAAAATGCCTTTGTAAGTTTGGATATATATAATAATAATTAGTTTTTAATTTATAATAATACCATATTATTTTGATTTTTATTTGCACATATAATATTTTCTTCATATTTTTTATTATAGATTTTTTATGTTCTTTATTTATATTATACTTTGAATTAAGTAGTTAACACCAAAATCCTTAAAGAATATGAAATATACATAATAATTGCTTTAATTATGACCAATAATTTGCTAATGTATTTCATTTAATATATGAGTCATTCATAAGAAAAATCATTGGACTGATATTAGATTCATAATAAAAAAAACATGCTGCAGAAAAAGTTTTTTAAAAGATTCATATACTTTTCAAGAGTTATTTCTAACTCATCTAATATTATAATACAAATTTAATATTAACTTTGAATGAATGAGCAATTTGAAGTTGCCAATATTTAAGCTAAAGATATATCGTAACTATGCATTATGTATTTGTTCGCAATGAATAAGGATTTTTTAATATAAAATTCTCTTGTTTTTTTTTTAGATTATTATTGTGAATATATAATAGTATAATTCTTGAAAAATAATTTTTATCTCTTGAATTTGAAATTTTTTAGTTTTAGATATTATCATTTTTGATGATTCTTTAAATTTAGCAAACTATTATTATATAATAACAGATAGACATAGAGCTCGCAATATTATCGTATCTTCTGTCAATAAGAAAAAATTAAAAATACCAATTAAAGAAATAACTGAAAGATCAACAAAATGTCAAAAAAATTACAGATAATTAAATATATAAAGACAATTTGATATTAAAATATCTGGAAGATTATATAACTGGATGTTCTATACAATAATAAACTACACACTTCTACAGTATATTACCAGAAATTGATCATGCAAAATGCTGATCCAAAGTTTAAAAAGTCAATTTTATTGACATCATACATAATAACACAAACACAATAATAAACAAAAAAAACAATCCCATTTTTTCTCTTTTTTATAATGCACAGAAAGGAGTTGACGAACAAATAAAGGGAGCAAATAATCAGTGCTTATCTCACTGGCATCAAAGATCTAAATCTCGCACTTAAATTCAATATTCCTCAAGCAATAGTATATGATACTATAGCAATAGCGGCTAATTTGGCCTGAGCTTCTTGTTCGATAAGTTCAGCTTGCTTTTTTAAATGGGCTTCTTCTTGCTGATTTTCTAATCAAACCGATGAACTAAACACCAGCACAAAAAGACAACTCTCCTTCCTCTCTTCTCAAACCGAAACCACCGTAGGGAGCCAAAAAGAAACGAGTCACTAGGGAACGAAGCCGAAGGTGGAGTGACGAGAGAGGCGAGCAGGAAGAAAATGAGGATGCTTATTTAAAAAAATATTTTGCAACTAAATAGTGAATAAAAATTACCTTATAAAATTTGTTTCAAAAATTATCAAACGATATAGAGAAACCAATTCTCCGCATCCTGAAAAACATTCTGGTCAGTCAAAAACTCTGACCAATCATGAAAAACATACACTAAAACGAGTTATTCTAAAAAATCAGTTTTATCCACTTGGTGAAATCACAAATGAACTAAATGACAAACTCAACACTTTTTATCATGCTAATATCATCTGCAAATACTTAGATAAAATAGGATTCGAAAGCTACACTCCAAGAAAAAAATTCCTTTTGACTCCAAATCAAGAACTTCATCGATTAAATTGATGCTGAGAGAAATATAACTGAAAAGCGCAATGGAAAAATATAATCTGGTCTGACGAGTTCAGATTCGCACTTTTCGAATCGGATGGCTGGGTAAGAGTATGGCAGAAACCTGATGAAGCTTATCACCAAGCATGCATTAAACCTACTGTTAAATTTGGTGGAGGATCAGTGATGTTTTGGGAATGTTTCAGTTGGGATGGGATTGGTTCTTTGGTGCCAGTAGAAGAAATCATAAATTCAGATGTCTATGTTAATATTCTCACCAATTATTTTGTACCCTAAGCTCACCAATATTCATATGTTACATTTCAACAAGATAGCGCACCATGTCACACCTCAATATATATGACTTGATGGATGTCAACACATGGTATTCGACTTTTGGATTGGGTTGATCAAAGCCCTGATCTCAATCTGATTGAATATCTGTGGGATATTTTGGACTGCCAGATTCGAAAAAGAAGACCGTTACCTACATCAAAGCAAGAATTAATTCGTATGTTACAAGAGGAATGGGTGAGTATTGATTTGGAAACTTTGCGTGAGTTAATTTTGAGTCTACCTAGACGCGTAGACAAAGTTATTGAAGCCAATGGCAAAAGCACGCCATATTAATTGTAGGTTCTTAAATTTGAACCAATATAACTGTATATTCACTACTTTATTTTTCTTTAATTTATCGTATGTTTAATAAATACGATAATTTTTTATTTAATAATAAAAACTTTGATTCGTTGAATGATCGACATTAAATTTCCGGTAATATACTGTAGGGGTGTGTATATTATAATTTTTTTAATTATATAAAGCTTTATTTATACATAACGATAACAGTAACTAGATTTTAGTATTTTAGTAATTTGAATGTCATTTTAGGGTGTAATTATGAATAAACGAATGATTAAACAAACATGCACGGGATATGAATCGTGTATTCCGGATCGTATATTACACAAACATGCACGGGATACGAATTGTGTATCCCGGATCGACACGTGACAAATGATCGATAAAACCTGCGTTCTGATAGAGCTTTCCCAAACCGAAAATAACATTGAATTGCTTCCCGATTCGCTTGTTCACCTTTCTTTCCAGCAATATTGACTCAACCGATGGTTTCTTACTTTCTTACTCCTTACTTTACTAATAGAGTGATCGAACTGAGGTTCTAGAACAAGTGCTTTACCGGTGATTCTTTCGACCATGCCTAAGCTCCCAAGTAAGACAACCTCGACATATGAAGAATGTACAACTTCGTTAGCATCAAGTACCGGACCAATAAATTTTCATCTTGCGTTTAATCTTATCTATGCAATACTGTAATTCTTTGTCGTTGTCATCGATTGTTACTTTTTCTGTGAAAAATATATGTTAAGCGAGCATCAATAAATACCTGTTGCCAAGGCACAAGACAATCCTACAATTTACTAGCTTACCCGGATCAAATGGTGGAATGCAATTTAAGTTGTCGCCATCGATTCCGTATTTTTGTAACACACCTCTTTAGTCTCCAGAATGCGGTTTGACGAATACAATCTTAATATCTGTTACTTGAGGTCCTTAATTAAGTCAGTAAGATCTGACGCTGATCCTATTTCCAACCCAGCTTCCATAAACTCTTTTTTGGTCATATTGAGAAAAAGCATGACCCGTAATTTTTCGCTTGCAGATAATTTTCAAGTCATCATCGTCAAGCTCCAAGTCTTCTTGCCTTCGCAAAAATTCGATAAGCTCGTTCGTTTTGTACTTTTTGACCACATCAGCTAACGTGGATATTTGTTCTTCAGTTTCTGAGGTAGAGGTAGAGATGGGTGTTGACGCAGTTGTCATGGTTGCTTTTATGAAGAATCGGTGGCATTATATAGGAAACTGATTTATGTAATAAAGTTGCGCAAAATGATAATGGATAAAAATTAGCCAATAACGATAGTATTATCGTTATCGCTAAGATTTAATACCGATAACATGTTTACCGTCATCGTAATGAAAACAATAATAAACCACGGAATATAACTCACGATTGTAGTAAATGCTGGCTTGGTCAACATAATTACTGCTGCGATGAGTGTTAAGTTATCAACCAACTATATAAATCTGAAATAAAGATATCAACTGTCTAATAAAGAATGCAAGAAATTGATACATTTACCCATTTGAATGAATTCCATCAATGTTGAATATCTTGCAAAAGGAGGTTCATAAAACATCATTACACGATTGGGATTCACTAATTAGAAAAGAATGCTAAATGTTTGACATTTGTGCTTGACAAACTTCCACCTTACCAAGTTTGCTTACACATGTACATGTAGTTGGTAATAGTTTAACCAAACTACTCTGGACTATAAGCAAACTATTAATAAAATTGGAGGTTCCTAAATGTCATCAAATAAATTCCAAAGTAACATCGTTTTCGTTATAATAAACCATTTTAATGATGGGGGAGCGAATGACTCAAAATATTGGAATTCCAAAGGAATTAGTACTGTTTGACTTTTCAATGCTACGTGTTTTTTTTTTGAATTTTGAAAAAACGAACCGGAACTTAATCTTTTTGACATAGTCATAAATGTGAAATTGAATATTTCCCTATTTATCGGAAAAATAGGATCCATATTCACATGTTGCTTTAACTTCTACTATCGCGATGCATTGTCATTATGTGAAAGCGTGTCATGTGACTACAAAAAGAAGACAAATATGCAATTAACACTTACCGTCCAGTTGTATCTAATACTGATGCGAATTTGTAATTATTCTTGTAAGATCTATTCATTCTCTTTGATTTCGTGTGGTATGCTGAAATCGAAATCGTTTGGAACATACAAACTGACACATTGAGTGGATTTGTTTTTCGTTCGTATTTGCAGGAATGCTCTTTTTAATTTCATTTCCTTATCAAGCCCTTTCCATTTCTGCCTTTCTAGTTTGAGACACTCAATAATTTCCTCATTTGTCTTGGGATATTCTAAAGAGCTGTAGTACTGAAAATGCAAAGTATTCGGTTCCCTGTTACTTTCTACCCAGATAGAGAAGAGAAAGTCTTCAAGTTCTTTGGCAGTTTGTCTGTTTTCTGGAATAGGATCTCAACATTTTTCAATAATAAACTTGAATAATTTAGGAACATTACATGTATTTGGTATCGTAGGTCCTTTGTATATGTAACACTAGGTGTATATCATGACTTCATCAAATGGTCGTTCACCTGTGGCAATCTCGTACATAATGTTACCGGGTTAAGAATAATTTCGCTAATCTCTCAATTTTGGTAAATCCGCCTAACCCGATTTCGTTGGTTTA